GCTATAATCCCTTAGAAGAAAACAAACAACATGACCTAACAGTTCTCACGAATCGAATCAAGAGGTTCCCGTTGAGTACAACGGACGAGAGGGGTGCTAATACCTTTCTCTCGCCTAACCGACTCCTAAACCTAGAACTTGGTTGCGATGGCCATGTTCTTTCCCTAAAGGTTTTCTCGATAATTTCCTTTCCTTCTTTGGGATAAATAAAATTCGGTGGCGACTCTGTTTTCCGCGACCATTCGCGAAGGATTGTGTTTTTTTGAGTTACGACATTACCGAATATATAACTTTTCAAATTGCATTAGAAAATTATAATATGATAGATAAAGTTATATTAGAAAACAAACACACGTTCAATTCTAGACAAGAAGTCTTCACTCTGTTATCTACATATTGTTCTTTGACTATTAAAACTTTATTTAATGGTTATAGTTCTTCACCCGATCCTTCATCCACCTCTAATTTTATTTTCAAAGTAAATAATATTTTGCAAAATGAACTAGAGGTGAAGGAAGGGGAGGTTGAAAAACTAGGAGCATTAAACAAAGTTCTAACTGTTAAAAAGCAAAATGCGGATAACGAGTTGAAGAACTCTTGTCTAACATTGAACTTGAACTTATTCTTCTAATATAACATAATTTGTCATATAATAATGTTATATATCAGATTGAAAGGTTGTATGTTTAGTGAGCATTGACGAAATAAGCATTCTACATAATCTATAATAAATTATATATCATAGTAGTTGTTTATACCAACCGTTGTTAAATGTTATGCATTAAAGAATATCACAACGGTTGTTTAAAGTAACTGTTGTGGTAGGTAGTATGCTACATAGCTTATAATCACAGTCGCACGACCGTGGTGGAAAACATCATACATATAATCACACCTTACCCTCCAACGGTTGGTCAAGCATGGTGGTAACCCTTTTCCAACCGTCGTGATAGGTGTTTTCCGTAGTAGTGTGAAAAGAGCCTATAAATTTTTTCATATTACACTTAGTCGAAACTATTCTATAGTGAGGTTTTGTTAGTTCATTGTTTAATTCTGACAAAGATCCACAAATAAACCATTTTGAAAATGGTGGACAAAAATCCAAGCCATATTCAGAGGTTGGCAATGGCGGAAGTTTGGAAAAATAAAATTTTAAAGCGAAAGTATACCTATATTTTACATAAGGAAGAATTTTCAAGTCTGGGAGTTTTTCAGTAACTTTATATTTTAAAGTGAGGGATGCATCATAGATAGTTCCACGAAGTTTACATGGATTATACACAGTTTTAAAGTATTATTGGAAAGTGTGAATTTCCTTGATGTGCATACCTCGACTTTTCTTGAATCTAGTATGCAGAGATGAAAAAGCGTCGGCTAAATGTTGGAGAAGATGTAAATGATCCATAGAAAGGGAAACATAGAAGGATGATCACCATTCTTAAAATTGTTGTGTGCAATGATAAAAAGCTTGAAGTTTAAAAGGGTTTCGAATGGTGACTTCTTTGTCGAGGAAGTCTAGGCATGTTTAATTTTTTGTGTGTGACAAATCAGTAGTGGCCAGAAGGATTTCAACTCTATTGAGCAAAAAGAACCTTGGATGAAATTGGCTGAAGCCAAGTTGTCCGGCCACCATATTGAGTTGGTAACTAACAAGTCCCATGCCACCTTCCACACTAAAATTATGGTTGACAGAACAGTAGGTTTCAGAAAAGCTTCCCAAATTTCGAGAGTCTCAGAATGTTTTTCAGGAGAAAGATATGGAAACTCTCTCTTATAGAAGTATAGACAGTGACTTCGATTGACGAAAGGAGCCATAAATGAATCAAAGGTAGCGTAATCTACATACATGAAGAAATATTTCTTGAAGGCTGCATTAGTCAAAAGTACAACATCTTCTAGAGTAAGTAGAGCAAGCCTAATGTCTTCGATCCATCTTATTTAATCTATTTTGTTAAGTTGGAAGGGATGGTGAATTTCATAGAAGGTTCAAAAATGGCATTAAACCATAGTTGAAGAAGTCACATAGGGCCAAAAATGAAACACTTTTGGTTAGGATCAATTATAGATTTCAGGTTAGATAAAGAAACCCCAAGAGCTTCATACAGGAAACCTAAGATCAACCTCCTAAGACTAATGTTCCACCCCTCATAAATTTTGGTCTTCTATGGTCGTAATCTACATTATGACCAAGCTGCAATTAAGGTTGATTGCATATAGGAAAGGCATCAGAGTGATTGACTAGTCTGAGCCAACTACAATCATAATATACATTACTACTAGGTCGTATTTCCAACTAGTTGAGAACCAAGAAAGCCCAGGCTACTTGTTTTAAACTCTAATTTAAATATGTAAACCATCCCCCAAATTATTACCATTATGATAACCATAGAACATTTCTAATACGTGATTATGATAAATAAGGTACAATTGAGAAATTTTAGAGGTTAGGATACCCTATGATTAGAACTTGGTTAATAAGTTGAAATGCATAAGGCCTATGGACAATATTAGATTGAGGATAAGATAAGACCAATCTCAAGTTAGAATGAGATCTTAATTATACTTTAAACCTCAGCTAGTTATTCTTTAGAATCTCAGTTAAGTATTTATTAAGATCTTAATAAGATACACTTAAAACACGAGTTAAGTTATTTTAAAATCTTAGTGAAGTTTTTATTAGAAATTTAGACACATTACCTTTAAGAATTTAGTTAGTGCATATAAACAGTGATAAGAGGTTATAATGAGTAAAGTTTAAGGTTTCTTAGTATAAAATACACTAAGAATTTAGTTCTCAGCCCACACTTATGTCACTTTTATTCAAGAATACGATTACAGGATTTCCAAAATGGGGCATGCGAGGAATTGCCGGAAGAAGATTAGAATTTATGCACTAGGTTTTAAAAGTGAGATTGTTAGTCATGTAAGGTCATTAATATCTTTTACTTCTTCTATTATTTTTTTTCTTCTAAGACGGTCTTGCTATTTAAGGATAACCTCTGATTACTTTATTTGTTAATATTGTATAGTAATTTGTGTTACAATTTCGTATACGAACTAGTCGAGCAAATTGTGTCTTAGGTATCTAGGAATAGTATGCACTTACGGTCTGACTTAGTTGTTTATGTATCATCGAAGTATCAGATCATGAAGCATTAAGTTCGATCAACTTAATAGTTTTGTTTGATATGATGATTTTATGGCCTCAATCGAGTAGGACATTTATGAAAGGTACTGAAAAATAATGTCGCGGCGAATAATTTGTCATGCTCAATTGTGCCAAATAATTGCCTATCTTTTTTAACAACCATCATGCGATGGCGAGTTAAAAGATGTCAATGAACAAGACACTTATTGTGAAACCCAATATCTACAAGATGGAATCTCCAAGCCTAGACACATATTAAGCTAGAGATTTGGAAGCTCTTGTCCTCAGTCTAGATCTCCGAACTTTCCACTTAAGTACCACTCAATGTAGCTGATGCTTCGAGGGAAATTATGGACTAGATAGACGATTTTAGAACTAAGGAGATGCGTTTGAGATAATCGGCTTGATGAACATCAAATTATTCATGGATCTCTATGGGTCAAAGGATCCACCAAGAGAAAGATGGTAGGATCTTCAGACGAGGAAGTTGACATAAAGGAAAATAAACGCTTAAATAAAAAAGGTTAATTACCCCATTTGACACATAACCTTATATGGATCAACAATCATCTGCATATAAGGAAAGATATACCATTGATCTAAAGAGGATAAAAGCGTTAAAAAGAGTAAAAGGTGCTTAGGACATGCGAGATGGTGAAAGACATCTTATGTATGAAAGTTAGAGCTAGCTGAAGTGAAGATAAGTCTTGATTAATTGTTGACCTCTACTAGTGGAAGTTTCAATTTTGGAGGGTATGTAATGTGAACTTATAAGGATGTAAGTGTGAAGCAGATATGAAAATGTGTAAGGATGAAAGTGTGAAGCGGATATGAGAATTTGTAATTTGAAAAAAATTCTCATTAATTCTTCTAGGTGTGATCATTTAAACCAAAAATGAGTCATTGGTCAATACCTTACTAAACCAAGTGTCACAAATTTTGTGGTTCATCACTCATGAGGATCCATAGTATCTGAGGTGTAGTCCAAGAGTTTGAGCCAAGACTTATTCTAAGATTTGAACATTTGGAAGTGATTAGATCTAGAGCTAACATCATTATTTGTTAAAGGAATCAAGTTGGCCTGTTGTTACAAACTCACAAGTCTGTCGTACTTTTCTTGGGATGGAACAATATAGATTATGTGAATTTTTTTGAATCAGTTGTTCCAATTGCATTATGGAGCAATGAGAATAGGCTGTAAAACATGATTTTAAGGTTGTAGTAAAGAAACAAGATAAAATGAAATAATTATTAAATGAATGTAAGAAAATTACATCAGAATCAAGAAAAAAGGACAGATGAATTAAGAGATCATTAAGCATGAGGAAGGAAACTTATTAAAAACGTACAAAAAAAATACTATTTCATTCATTTTGATTAATGTTTTTTTAATTTGATTTATTTCCATTTATATCGTTTGTTTATCAGTTTGATTCCATCACAACATGGCGTATTTTAGAAATTCAAAGGCAACAATTTTCACTTTTCGAATATTAGTATAAGTGTTACTAAAGTATATAATCTACACAAGAGTTAACAAATATTTTTAATATAATTTGAAACTTTAAGTATAATCTACTAGAGTTATTATTAAATAAATATTACTAACTTTCAAATATTTTGAGTTGCAAAATCATGAATCAAAATTTCATAATTAATCAATTGTAACCTTTTACTGCATAATTTGCCTTAGTTTTATATCTTAAAAAGCCAATAATATTTATTCTTAACAATCATAGACAGAACTCAGAAGTATCGATATAAACACAAATATCAGATACGGCATAGATAGTAACATTGATTTGCTGATACTGATAAAAATTTAAAGAAAAAGATCGATAAAATACTTCTATTACGAAGAATTTCTCCTTCTGAGAGTCAATTCATTCACAAATTCTGCAATATTTTCATCAGAAGTTCCACCCTCATCAACACAATTCCTAGCCACACTCATCCATTTCATAGCATTCTTCTTCATTTCATTTCCCTTCTCACTCTCCATCATTTCCCTTATACATTCTCCAATTCTTTCACTTCTAACTATCCCTTTCTCATCCGCAACACCTTTGACTCCAACTTTCCATACATCAACAACCAACTTCGCATTCGTAATTTGATCCGTCCAAATCGGCATAGCAATAACTGGAACTCCTAAACTCAATGCTTCCAATATCGAATTCCAACCACAATGTGTCACAAAACATCCAACAGCTTCATGTTCCAACACCTCTAGTTGTTGACACCATGTCACTATTAAACCTTTCTCTAACGACTCCGAAAATCCCTCTCGAAGCTTACCCTTTTCGGATTCTCTAACAATCCATATGAAATATCTTCCGCAGTTTTTCAAACCACAAGCTAGCTCATTCATTTGGTCCTCACTAAGACTTGACCTGCTTCCAAATGATACATAAACAACTGAACCTTTTGGTTTAGTGTCTAACCATTTGATGCAAGAATTTATAGCAAAGATGCTACCACCATATTCATTGTCATCTTTGAGCCTTTTATCTAAAAACATAGATGGCACACATGGTCCTATTGTCTTTAATGGCCAAATCTTCATCAACCATTCCACTACCTAAATAAAAACATAGAAAAAAAACTAAGCATATAATGTCTTGTGTCCGTGTCAGACATTGTCACGTATCACACATCAGACACACCTTTGTTACATCAAAACTCAAAATTAACAAAATTGTATAAAACACATACCTCTTGCTCCAATTCATAAAAAGTGTTGGCAAGAACCCAATCTACTCGATCAATCATTGAAAACTGGTTTGTAAGAAGATCAAAATATCCCGGATGAGTTCCATATCGATACAAAAAAGACGGAAAATCAGAAGCTTCGAGCTTAGGCAATCCAGGTAACACAATCTCTTTCTCCAACAAAGGTAAACCCAACCATCCCTTAAAAGCATGAAAGTTTATATTATTAACCGAGCAAGCTTGAGTTAAGAAAACCGCAACAGGTAGTTGAAACTTGTTAGCAACATCAACAATCCAAGGCAAGAAAGCATCATGAATAACACAATCAACATGGTTGTTTGTTGTTGTTAACTTGTGAAGAAGTTGATCGAGAGTTTGTGATCCGGTTCGACGAAAGGTATCGATGTAAGTGTCGATGTCTTTTGCAGAAGTAAGTCCTCCGTCGTCGAAACCATCTGAGATGGTTTCGTATTCGAAGGACTTGTTGAGGTTTTTGGTTGTGATGGTTTTGGAAGTGGAAATGGTGTTTACTAGTGTGATTTTTATTCCTTTTTGGAGTAAACGTTTTGAGAATTGAAGCATTGGGTTTATGTGGCCTTGAGTTGGGTATGGAATTACTAAACAGTGAGGGGTTTTGTTTTTGATTTCTTTCTCCATTTATTTGCTTCTTCTGTGTTCACTCTTCATGGGATTCAAATGCACAATTTGTATTTTACTTTTCTCTCTTTTGTAAGAGCATCTTTTGAACATCTCAAAAAGTTTAATATATATTATCTCTCTTGAATAACTCAAAAACTTTCTCTCACTTTTTGGCTTTTTTTATATTAAATAAAGCTATACTTTTTCATTCAATTTGGTAGAACATATCTAAAACTACAGAAACTCAACATAGTTACACCAATAAATATGAATATACATATAAGAAATTAAATATTCAAGGTTTTGGATATGTTGTCTTTATGTTAAACTCAATAATTGAGTTTGTATTGAATAGAAATTGAACTATCAATCCGAATCATACCTAAAATAAGAAATAAAATAAATTTATATTAAGACAATAATATCGTCGCATTTTAATGAAGAAATAACGAGGGAGACAAAAGAAAAAATGGAATTATGTGAATGTCTAGTTAGATAAAAGAAATGAAGAGAAGAATATGCATAAGGATAGTTTCTTGTCTAAATAACAATTCGAAATCAAGTCTCTCTTATACTTGAATTTGTTTTTTGTTAAATTAAAAATCAAACACAAAAAAAAAGTGTTGGACAAAGAACAAAATATATCACACTAAATAGTCTCGAGAAAAGTTAATTTATTTAGTGTAGACAATGTTACAAATTGGAAATGTAATTCGATGTTTTGTTGAAAGCTAATATTCGACTGTGTCAAAGTGTCGCTTCCGCGAAAATAAGGTGCCGGCAAAACAGAAGAGTCGCCACCTTTCGTTATTTATCCCTCAGAGCGGGAAAGGAAACGATCGGAAAAACCTGACGAAAAGGTATAAGACAAGGTCATCACAACCATTGTCTGGGTTCGGGAGTCGGTTACGCAAGGGGAAGGTATTAGCACCCCTCACGTCCGTCGTACTCGACGGGATCCACGCTTGTTGTGTTTACTGGACGAGTTGGTTTATCTATCTACCTATCAAGGATGGCTTAAACAGAAAAGAAAATGACTCGGCAAAGCGTTGCACTTTATGCCTACGTATTCTCATCAGAGAATGAGAAATCAGAGTCAACGTAGTTCGACCTACTACGGGTTATGGGGAAGGTGGCTCGCCAATACATCAGTATTGTACCTACGTACTCTCAACAGGTTTGAGAGATCAGAGCTTACGTAGTTCGGGTTACTACGGGTTACGGGGATTCAGATTCATCTGTTTTATCGAGTAGGGTTAAACAGCAGTTCCAGCAGTTAGGGACAAAGCATGTTTGCATTGGCGCTGAAGTTTAACGACACTCTTTCCTTCAGAAAAACTTCCTTTGAATTATGGGCCCACGGGGCAAAAAGGTTTGAAGTTTGTTTTCTGTCTTTTACGAAAGAACTGTTTTTTATGGTCGTTTGCAATTTCAATCGCACTAAAGACTATGACCTGAGAGTGAATGTGTCGCATGTCACGCAAAGGGTGCCATACTAAACATCCAGACTGTTGAAAAGAAACTCTCCAACAATCCTTTCCCAGATAGCTTAAGGCTCGTAACGTACGAAAGAAATCATTCATGATTACTGTATCTTAAGCTGTTTTGAGATGAGAAGAGAAGGGGCTCAACTAACGGGGAGACTATCAAGTTCTAATGTTGTCATGCCAAGGATTCATCCTATAGTTGAGGTTTGACACAGGGAACTCCTAGAAATTATCATGCATAGGTTTCAACCTAAAGTTCTAATCATCACTTCCTTATCAAAGGAAGTGAGATTCCTAAGGGATCATGTCAATGATACACAGAAACAGATAAAGCATCAGCTTAAACAGTAAACAGTAAACAGTAAACGACTGTAAAATGCATGCAATGCAAGTGAGGGAGGAAATGTGTGTGGGGCAGCAGCCTCCACAAGCTCATCTCAACCTCAAGCCAGGTATGAATAACAGTAATCATACAGAAGAAATAACATGCCATCAAGCAGAATAATGAGCAACTGCAATCATACAGAAGAAATAAAATGCTATCAAGCAGAATAATGAGCAACTGCAATCATACAGAAGAAATAAAATGCTATCAAGCTAAATAAACCACATGGGCAAGGGAGCTGGGCTCTACCGAATACCCGCAAGCAAAGCCATACAGTAAAAATACAAGCAGAGGGAGCAACTCAACCTCTAGTGCAATCATGCTCCTATATTAAAGTCAATCTAGATATGGACTTATTCTAATGCATCAAGCAAGTCAAACAAGGCACATCAGCACAGAAAAGATAACAGACAAGAAAGCAGATCACCAACTCCCTCTTTCAATTCCAAGCTTCAGCTCTTCTAACAGCAATCCAGTCTTCAGACTTCAACCACCCTTCCAGGCTATCAGCTTCACTAACAAGCATCAACTTGCTCCTCCAAGGTTTCAATCCACCAAACATAAGTGTCAACTTATTCTCTCTTCTCCAAGCTTCAGCTCCTCAGTCAATTCTACCTTCAGGCTTCACTCTTAACTACAAGTATCAACTTGATTCCTTCATAATCTCCAAGCATCAATGTACAAGTATCAACTTGTCCTTTATTCCTCAAGCCTCGGCTCTACACTCAATCTCAATTGAATCCTCTTCATAAGCATCAACTTAGTCTTCAAGCTTCAGCTCTCTTTGCTTTACCAGTATCAACTTGGTCTTCTTCTCCTACAAGCTTCAGCTTCTCAGAGTAGTCTTCAATCACATGGAAGTGTCAACTTCATCCTTCAATTCTTTTTCAAGCCTCGGCTCTTTATTCAATCTCCATTGGGTCTTCAAGTATCAACTTGTTCTTCTTGCTCTTCAAGCTTCAGCTACAATGGTAATGCTCAAGGAATCATCCTATTCCACACTCTTCAGTGAAGTCCTCATCTTCAAACTCAAGTCTAACATCTTTCAAGATACTCAAACCAGAAGACAATTGATTGAACAGAATGAGTGGAAATGATAAACAACTTATTGACAACCAAAGGAAGCCTGTAAGGGTTCATCATTATGAGAGACTGGTTCCCTCAAAGTTCTACTTCCCAGATAAAGCCATTCATCCCTCCAAAGGAGAGATGTGATTATCTTAGAAGGACTTTTAGTCATTGGGAGGAATGGAAGCACAAGATGCTTTCCATATTTGTGAAAGAAATCATTCTAGTTCTAAGGCTCTCCCTATGTCTCCTATCTCCTAAATCTTCATCAGACACCTTCATGCACAAGCAACTCCAAACTCCAAGCAACTTCAAGCATCCTCACCTTGTCTTCAACTTGTCTTCAATCTCAACCAAAGGCATACAAAGCAAAACCCTAATATAAGGGAGCTAAAGAAGTCAAACTAGTTGAATTAGTAAGTTAGGATCACCTAAAACCTAGTACTAAAGTTAGTCCTAACTAAAATACTAAAACCAATTGTAAAATCCTACAAAAATAACTATGGGAACCTAGGTCAATCAAGACTCTGCTATATTAATTCCAGAGATCAAATCATCAAATAAGACCTAGAAATAAATTCTATATTATGAGGTACTAAGCCTAAACCCTAAAAGGAAGCACCTAAATATCAATCTAGAAAGCACACCTATTTTCATCACAAAAATGTGAGAAAAATGCTAAGGGAGAATACATGTCTAACCTAATCACACACAAAAAATTAGGATCAAAATCATCACCACATGATCACACAAAATTCCACAAAATTAGGTATCAAACATAACCATTTTAATATCAATTAAAATATAAAATTCCCATAAAATCAGAAAATGCATGAAATTAAAATATTTTTTATCTAAAAAATACTAGACTCAAGCATGCGTATAATGCAAAAAGAATGGGATTGATTGGATTAATTTTCAATTTATTATGAATTTTTCAAGAACCATGAACAAAATGAAAAAAATAATAAAATCCAAATAAAAAGATAAATGCACGGTGTGGATAGTAACCAGAATCAGTTCAAATAATGGATTGGGCCTTCAGGGGGGTGTGAATATCATCCAATTCACTAAGCCCAGCATCAGCACTCAAATGAAACGATGCGTTTCATTAATTCAGATCCTTCACAACTTGAAATTAAAACGTGGCTGTTGGATGAGGGTCCTAGTCCAAGTCAAACCATGATCCAATGGTCCTAGAGTCATCTTCTACCTTTTGAACATCTGAACTTCGCGCGCAGCTCCGGCCACCACCGGTGGTGCTCCGGTCATCGTCCCCAACCCTAACTCTCTCTAGGATCCTCCATTGCAAATGGTCTATACATGAAACTTGTCCCAAATTTTGTCACGAATTCATTCATACCCTTCATTCTCTCTGAAACCTCAAGATTCACCATATCAAATTCTCAACCGAAAATGTTAACATCCTAGATTGGTCACTAATTCTCAAATTAATGGTCTGAAATCATTCCTACACCGTTCTACAATGCATCTAACACCCTAATTCATCTTGATTCTACCTAATTCATGCTAGAGGAAGAAAGTTACTAACCTGAAAATCTTGGATGAACAGATGCACTAATCTTTCAAATCAAGCTCTCCAACCTTCCAGACACGATCAATGGATCCTTTCCTTTCTTCTGTATGCAATAGAACTGGTTGAAAGCTCCTGAATCTTGAAACCCGATGGTGAGTTGCAGGTGGAAAATTCTGAGTTCAAGAACACCAATTAGCCACGAATTCTTCTTGATTATGATCTGGATTCAATCCCTTTGCATTGGATCACCTCTACTCAATATATAGATGATGTATGAGTGATCTAGAACCCTCTAGACCCTTCTAATGAGAGTTTCAATCTCTCATGTCATGAGATTTTCAATCACATATCATGATATGCATAACTCTGTTTGCAGCTTGAAACCAACCTCATTCACTTCCAATTTCTCCCCTAGTGACATTTTGAGGGTGTTTAGCTTGCAAAGGGCCTTGCTCATGCCTTGATTCTATGTTTTGCACATGTTACTTATGATGTAAGTAATCACTTTTCAAAGCAAGTCCACCAATTGAATTTCAATTCA